ATCTTCTCTGGCTCCTCACTTAGTCCCATCCTTATCACTTAAAGGGTCTTGACTTGCTTTCAGATTCCACCGTCTTTTACAGTGCTTCCCCTGACCACAACAGAAAGTAGGAAACCAGTTAAGCTCCAAAGATTCCTAAGGAGTCAGGAAAAGTGGGGAGGGAGGGTAAGAAAAGAAGATAGCAGAGGAAAGTTAACATATTCTCCCCAAACACTGCCTTGTTGACTAGCACAAAATTAATTTTTCTGGGACAATTTAACTAAGTATTATTACTTAGTTTTGTAAGTAGAAACCAATACAGAGATGATAATGGTAGTCACAACTTACTAGTCAACAGAAAATGCCAATGGTGCATATGGAATTTACATTCATAAAGCATAACACCCAAACTATAATGGGCATTATATTCCCACTGTGTAGATTGGAGCCTTACAAGCTACATGACTTTCTGTAGTCTATAGAAGATGCCTTGAAAGTGAGGCTGAGTTTGAAAAGTATTGACCCAAAATATTTAAAATTGAATTAATCTTTTTTTTTTTCCTAAGAATCTGGCACCTGGAGAAATGAACCTAATATTTGTGTATGTGTGTGCATATATTTAACATTAGAGTCACCCATGGGACAGTGGGTAAGGGGAGGAAAGCTAGAAATTAAATAGGGATCTTTTAAGAGAAATTAATGAGAAAAAATGTCAAAATTTTTTCTTTGCTTATTTGTTTATTGTGGCCACAGTGAGGTCAGAAGATCTGCCTGGATCCAGTAGAAACTTTCCACCTATAGATACCGTGTGTGCAGATGTCAAAACCCAAGCACCCAGAAGCACACAGACTATAATTTAATTTCTTCTGACTAATATTGCCATCTCTCAGTCTTTCATATTTCTCAGGGATAATTTTTTTTTTTTGGCATCTTCTTTTTTATCTTTCTTTTCAAAATTGCAAACAAGGTCTAAACAGTTGGCCCTCGTTAGCGTATGTGCCATCTGTCCGTCAGTTCCAGCAAGTGATAACAGCCACATTCCACAACACCACTACCCTTCTGTTTGTCATTGGAACAGTCAGGATTTCTTAGGCTATGCTGGGGGAATAAATAATAGAAAAAATCTCTGTGACTTTGAAATAACAAAGTTTGTTTTCCACACAAAGACATGTTAAATTGAGCTGTCCAGAGCTCTGTTCATTGCAGTCACTGTGGAAGCCAGGCTGGGATCCCATCTCAGCTTCCATTTCTGTTGTCATAGAGGCAAAAGCAGGCAACTATAGTGTTAAACCTTCTGTCTGGGAGTGGTACATGGAGAGTTCCATACATATTCCACCAGGGAAAGCAAATCAAACGTGCATATCTATGTACAAAAACTGGGGTTGTATGCTATCCCAGAAGAAAGGCACTGTTTTTGAACTTGAATGGTCTACCACAATCATCTTTGTTCTTTAGACCACTGTCCCAGAAGCCAGACTGAGCTATGCTATAGAAAGTACTGCTAAGTGGCCACCAAAGAGTGAACTCGATACCCTGAACTCATTCACTCTTGGATTTCTAACCAGGTAGAAGTTCTACTTGGAAATTTCTGGATTAAGGAAATTTGTTATCAATATATACTAATTGTAGTTATATAGAGATTTAGACCTTTGATTTAACTATACAGTGTAGAGGTAGGATGAGCTTCAAATTTAAAGAATCAGAGGTCCAACACTGTCATCAAGAATTCAAGAGCTTTCCACATCTCTATTCTGCCATTCTTGTAGGTGACCTCTCTCTTAAGACTAAAGGGAAGACGACTCTTTTCTTTCCATTGTTCTTAAAGAATCAGAGAAGTCATCCCTGGATGCTCTGCAGCACACACACCCTCACATTTCAATGCCATCATCATCTATTTGAATCCATTATGGACAAGGGGAAGGAGTCACCAATGTCAACTAGAATAAGGATGGCTAATGCCATGTCCACCATGAGGTGCAGTTACACTGAATGTAGCTCAAGTCATTTCCCTCCTTTGTGCTCTATTTCCTTCCTATAAAACTAGAAGTTATCTGAGTTGAATTGACCGTAACATTCAATGACTCGTGAATCTTTGAGAGAAACAATGGGATGAAAATAACATAATTGCTCTGACCTTTAAAAATATCATTTATATAATGGGATAATAATACCTACCTCATAGAGTTGTTGACAGAATCAATTGAAATAATGCAATGAAAATGTGTAGCATTATACCTACCTCATTATAGTTAACCAATAAATGATATGATAATGATGATGATGGTGATTCTATTTATTATGCAGTGAAAATGACCATATTCCTAAGAAAGCATAATAGAGAGGGAACAAGGCATTACAAGACTAATAGGAAATAAGCATTGCTATTGCAACAAAAACAAATTAATTCTCTGAATTTTTGCTTTGTTTTTGGTAGCCCTTTAGCTTGATTCAGAAGTCATCTTTTGAACTGAAAATAGCTTCATCTTTGGAAGACATTTACAGAGAGGAAATTACATTAGGATTGCTATGCCCTTGTTACCATTAACTGGTATTTGTATCCAGAGAGGAAAACATGTCATTTAAATTCCAGATGCTGATTGTATAATTTATCTTTCTATGGGCACGGGCATGTTTCCTTATTGTTCAGTTCTACTCTGCCTGCATTTCAAAAATCACTGGTGCCTAAAATTATTTACATCTAAACAAATGATTTTCAACTGTGTCTCTATGCCATCTTTGGGCTAGGATCAATGGCAATGGCCCAGGTTCAAATAAGCAAAATAACACACTATGCTCACTCTGGGAAAACAGTTGCTTTTTTTCCCATCTGTAAATGGAGAGCAGGGTATGCTATACTCAAGAGTAGGAAGGTGTCATATTTATTAACTCCATCTTGGAGTTACACTACCACTTGATAATAACCATTTATATAGCAATGCAATGTCAATTCCTCTTGAGAAGGAGCTCCACAAATGAAACTGTCAAATTATTTCTGATTTTCCAGAAACAATAAAATCATCTCACCCATTGAAAGATATTTGACTCATTTAGGCTGTAAAATCATACAGTGATTTAAAAAAATGGATAACTAAATCTTTTCTACCAAAGGAGTCTATAATTCCCTTTTTTTAACCCTAGTGTATTTAAATGATTCAGGTCAGACTTTCATGATTAGTATCATATGAATAGTGCAGATTCTCATTCTGAAAAGGGCTGGAGAAAAAGATTTGCTATGGCCGACATTATACCTACAGTCTCCAAAAATTTGCTGGTTCTCTGCCTACTCTGAGAATAGAAACCAACAAACTTTTCTGTCCTCATACTGAACAAATCTGGTACTGAATATTCCTTCTAATTCCTTATCAACTTTATCAAACATACTCCTCCCCCCATGCTAGTAAGCAATATTGGAACCAAGCAAAAAAATTCCGCTACTTGACTCAGGAAATACTGGCACTGAGAAAATAAGATTTTTGAAAACTAATAGCTTACATATAAATATAGCCACCTCAAGACCTTCACCATATATTACATAAAATAGGATGTCCTAAACTCTGCCAAATACCAGTTCTTTGTCTTGTAAGATGTTCCTTAACATCATCTCACTAGATCTTAAATCCAAAATACAGTATCCCTAACTTCCCCTTCTGAGATAGTACTAACACACTGTTAACATAGTCTTCTCCCAGCTGTATTAAGTCTAATAAATAGGTTTTCTAATGGCCTTTTGGGGGTATTGATGGCCTATAATTCTTTTATACCCAGAACATTCTTAAGGGAATCTTTGAAGGCTATTGGTAGATATGTAAATTGGTGTCATCATTTTGAAAAGCAATATCAAGATTCCTCAAAAAATTTAAAAAAAGAAATTCCATACAATTCAAATATCTCATTTCTGCAAATAGTATAAAAACACTAAGTTGAAGAAATATATGCACCCAAGTTTATTGCAAAATTATTTACAAGAGCCAAGAATTTAAACAACCTATATGCTCATTAAAACGACTGGATAAAAACAGTGTGTTATATACACAGTGGAATCCTATTTGTTCATAGAAAAAAGATGAAATCCTGAAATTTGCAACAATATGAATGGACTTACAGAATATTAACTTTGATGAAATAAAACAAAAAAGACAAATATATGATTTTATTCATGTGTAAAAATAAACAAAATAAACTAATTTTTTAAAAAACAAACTTTCAGACTTAAAAGATCAAACTTGTGGTTATTAGAGGATGGGTAAATCAGGAAAAGGGGTCAGTTGTTTTTGATTGATTGTTTACATTTTATTGAAGTACCATTGGTTTATACCGTTATTAGATAAGGGGTCACTTACATAGTGAAGGATAGGCCTGAAATTTAGGTGGTGAACTTAATGTAGTCTATACAGGCATTACTTTATAATGATGCATACATGAAACTTACATGCTATTCATGTGGAATGTTACCACAATAAAAATATTTTAAGAGCCCTCCCTGGTGGCGCAATGGGTAAGGATGCAGCACTGCAAGCTAGCCCAGCCACTTCAGTGTGAGTTCGATACCCCACCCCAGAGGTGACCCACATAGCACAGCAGACCTCTCCTGTCTCACCTGCTGCTCCCCTCAGCAGTGTACTTCGTTGATTGGCCTGCTGTGCTCCCCACTCTATCTCTGGTGAATCCTCTCACTACCCCTGCACCTCTGGCTTGTACCCCAGTTCTGTATGCATAAACAAATAAATCTTTAAAAATATATATTTTAAAAGAAAAATCTCAAATCTGGATGGCTACCAGACATGGCCATTTTCAGAGATAAACCATTTTCAACCCTTCCCAATAAATCCCCATTTTCTGGTCAACCATAATTAATAAATTATCATTGTGTTCTATATATAGTGCTCTACATCAGAAATTACATCTAACTGTCAATATAAAACGTGTCCTTATGAGGGACATGGGGGCAGAAGAAGGACTGGGCTGACAACCTAGTGACTATGCACAGCCGTGTGTACTTGACACAGGATGCTTGGACCTACCTCAGTGCCATGGGGGCTCAGGAAGGGTAGGAACGGAGCAGTTGCTTATACATCCTCTCCCCATCATAGTCTTCTGGGATGTTCCTCCTCAGCCCTACTCCAGGTCCCTCTGCTGAAGTCAAGGCATGACTGTTCGTAATTCAGGGATGTATTTGATGACTTTGTTTCCTATTCAAACTGCAGGAGACAAAAATAACAATTGCATTTTCAAAGGATTACATGAGCCAAGAGAGTCCCACACAATTATTCCTTGTCATTAACCTCAGTCCTTCCTTGTTGCCATTTAAATCTGAGCAGTCACACGCAGTGGTTGTTTGACTGCTTACTTCCTGAAATGTCAAGGCATCGTCAAAGACTTTCCATGTGGTATGTAGAATTCCCTTTGCATATAACTTCTTTATTTATTCTTAAGATGCATCCAGCAATTTGAAAATGTCTAGAAACTCATGGGAATGAAATACAAAATGTCAAAAGCAGATCTAGAGACACATCCAGACTCTTCCCTCATTTAGGCTGATAACTGAAAGGACAAAGCAGTTAATTCAACCAAATATCAAAAGCATCCCACATAGTCATACTCCTCAAGATACCACCCATTGTCACCTCCAAGTCCTAGTTATTTTCTCCCCTTGCCTCACCTTTGGTCAACTTGTGCTGTTTAGCAGTTAGATTTTGAGGTTACTTCTTGGATTAGACTACTTGACTCAGCTCTGCCATTTACCAATAATGTACCAATCACCAAAAGTGTGTGATTAGACAAGTTGCATAGCCATTCTGTGCCTTATCCTTAATCATGAGGTTACCAACTCTGACTATATGATAGATTATAGCTTGCTGAGGACAATGACAGTGTTTTAATCAAGTGCAAAACACCCTATTGTGGTACAAATTGAGTCTATGGGAATGGTAGAAACTAGAATGCCGAACAGTTCACATTCATCTCATCCTACACACAGGCACAGCTGATCTGAGTTTGGCATCACATTTTCTGTTTTCTAGGGTATCCTGTGTGTTCACTCTGTTTCAGGCTTAGGAAGAAGTCTGGCCCCTGGATTCACTGTTTCTGTCCTCTTTTTATGGATTCCTGCCCCTTAAATTCTCCTCTCTATCCCCATCCCTACCATAGTTCCACCTCCTCTTTTTCTCCATGTTTAGCTCAAGTTTCTAGCACCTGAGGACTCTAAGAGCACTTTGAATCCATTCTGTGGACTAAAGGGGAGGGTGTTAGATGAAGGAAGGCAGCCATCACTGATGTGACTTAAGACTGTTGGTTCTCAAAATCAACCTCAACTTCAACCAAGAACATCAGTATCACCAAGGAAACTAGAAATGAAAATCCTTGGACACCAACCCAGACCTACTGAATCAAAAAATCTGAGGGTGGAACCCAGTATGCTTTCAGTTTTAACAAAGTGTCTTAGTGATTCCAGTGCATGTGCACAATGGTTTGGGGACCACTGTTCAAAGCCATCACTCATATTAGTCCATCAAGAGTGATCACTTCTTACTACAATGTCTATACATCATTATGCTGTGAGACCCTCTACAGTTTTCAGCTTTGAGTTGCACTGGGAAGTCCCTCTTTCTGTTACCTTTTTTTTTTTCTTTCTGTTATCTTAATCCTGTATATATCTAAGCACAAAAGATTTTAGCTCTGTAACATGACAGCAATAGGGAAAAAACTGGTATGTGAAAATATATTATTGGCATAGGCACTTAACATTAACTCCTGTTCATCCTCAAGTAACTTCTCTGTAACTAAATATCACATTTAAAATAAAGGGCTTTACATGCATCGAGTAACTTTAACACATGCAAAGAATAAAAGCATTAATAAGCTGAAAGTAGGGCTATTACTATAAACAGTGTTATATGTAACATGTATAGTAGTATATCTTATATGGTGAATATATACTATGTAATAAATAGAACTAAAGTAATATATATCTACAGTACCTAGGTACATGTTAAAGATATGAGTGTATATCATTTATATAATACACACTTAAGTATATTATGTAAAAAGTGTTCTCTTTTAAAAGGCCAGGTAGCCAGCTATGGATATTATGCACTGTTGTGATTAAATTTATATTTCATCTTACCGCAAACAGAAAAAAACAGTGTATAGTTTTCAGAAAGGGTGATTTTGTCTTGTCATTTTCAACAGAAACTTCAATTCCAACATGCTTCATTTGGATTATCAATATGAACATCACAAGGCCAATAATTCCTAATTACTTCTTCTACTCGAAGGTTGAAAAAACTTACTTGAACAGATAAGGATTGATGTTTGAACAGATCTTGCCTGGTAAAAGGCCACACATTCAAGGCTACACTACTTCATGATTTTAACTTTAATAAAAGTGACATGGTCTCCACTCCAGTATATCAACTACTTACTTCTCAGGCACGCTAAAGATAAAAATACAAACCTAGCAAAGTCATCATTTGTATTTTTTGTTTACTTGATTCTTCTTGCCACCTTAGGATCACATTCTTTGTTGGAGGAAGGGGGTTGTATACAAATGTGCACATAATGGAATTGAAGAGGTATATGCAAGAGGCATATATTTACCTGTATGTTGATATTAAGATATCACGTAAATATACAAGATGGATGACTTATTCCATGTCACTAACTATTCTTCAAAGTCTTATTCTGAATTAAAAAAGAAAAGATATCAAATCCTATGATATATTCTAATTCCCTGAATCATTCCTATTATTGAATGATTAGGTCATTTTCAGTTCTTCCATACATAAATAATACAGAAATAGGCATCCCTGCATATAAATCTTTGTCCATACCTTTGATTTTTTTTCCTTAGGATAAATTGCAATTAAACGAATTGGGTCAAAGGAAAGAAATGTTTTTAAGCCTTTGGTACTCAGTACCAAAATGATCTCCAGAATGTTTATATATATATTTTTTTTTCTCCCACAAGGAGTAATGGTCTTACTCTCTCCTGGCATAAAAACACTGAATTTAACTTTGAAAGAGTAGAACAGTTCTCATCCAGGCAATCTTACCTACAGGGGACAATTAAGTGATGCCTTGTGAAATTTTTGGTCATCACAACTGGTAGGATGCTACTATATATCCAGTAGATGGAGGCCTGGAATTTTGCTCAAAACCGTACAATACACCACACATCCCCCACAACTAAATTATCCATCCCAAAATATCAGTAGTGTCAAGGTTGAGAGACCCTGTATAAACACATCCCCTTTAAAATCAGGACCAAAACAAGAGGTTCTCTATCACCAATATCATGCTCTGTGTCCTGGGAGTTCTAATCAATGTATTAAGGATAAAGTATAAATAAGATACATAATTGATGATAAGGAGAAACTAAAACCATCAATATTTCAGAGCACCTAATTGCACATTTAAAAGTAAACAGAATTAATGAAAGAAATAAAGCATGAGTAGGGAACTTCTTTGTGTTCTTTCTACTTCCCCATAAAGAACTGCCAGTGACATATATAACCTGACTATATATATATATAGATAGATATAGATATAGATATAGATATAGTTATAGATATAGATATATAGATATATCACATGTATTTACATATTTACAGAGTCCAATATTAAGCCACTGGCATTGTTCTAGGCACTAGAGATACTACAATAAATTAGAAATATCCCTTAACTCATGAGAGTTTAATTGGAAGTGAGAAGACATATAGACAAGTATGTTTTGTATATATTAAAATCCATGGGGGAAAAAAGCACCCTCCCTGGTGGTGCAACGGGTTAAAGCACAGCACTAAGAAGCTAAAGCCACTTCAGCACGAATTCGATCCCCATCCCAGAGGTGACCACATGGTGTGGCAGACCTCCTGTGACACACCTGCTGCTCCCCTCAGCAGTGTACTTCATGGATCTGCCTGTTCTGCTCCCCACTCTGTCTCTGGTGCATCCTCTCACCGCCCCTGCACCTCTGGCCTGTACCCCAGTTCTCTATGCATAAATAACTAAATCTTTTTTAAATATAAAAAATAAAAATACATGGGAAAAAATAAAGCAGGTCATGGAAGAAAACGCTTCTTGCATGAATAAAAAAGCAAAATCTTATAGATGTTTGTCCTATGAAGATGTTGACTTCAACTTTGGAGGAGTTTGGACTCGGAGGATTTTAAGCAGAGCAATAGCATATTCTGATGCATATTTTCAAAGAATAACCATAATGGGGATCAAAGGTGGAAGCAGGTAACAGAGAAACAAAGAAGTAACCATAGATTAGCCATGGTACCAATCTGTCAAGGCCATTGTAAAGATTTTGGATTTTACTGTGAGGGAGAGGGAAAACCTAGGGGGAGATTTTGAGCAGAGGTGTAACATGATCAAGTTCAAATTTCTGAAGGAATACTCTCTGGTTGTTCTGTGGAGAATACACTGTGTGGGAATGAGAAGCAAATGCAGAAAACAATAGAAGAAAAACACCTTTAATTCTAGCAGAAAAATGCTAACTCCTTCCCCATCCACATTTGCATAGCTCATTCTTTGTGCAGATAGAGAAGTGAAGAAACAGCAATGTTTTTCTTTCTTTGGTCCATAAATATTAATGAAAATGTTTTCCAATAAATTAAATTGGAAATTTTTATGTTTATTTTATCTTAGTTTCATCGGAATACCTGAAAGTTTATATCAGTGAGAAGAGTTACTTGACCCGGGTATTTTAAGGAAGAGTTAAATTTCATAGCCAGCATAGGCTGTCAGACTTAAGATTCTAAAATTTTCCCTAACCATTACTGGGGATGATTTGTTAGCCTTGCTGACTGGAGCAATCTATACTTGAGGCTTTTTAAAGAAGCGAAAACTTGGAAGTGCTCCCAGCTATCTCTGGTTCCTTTTTCATGAATCCTTTTCAACAACATCAGGCTCTGTTCATTAATGTCTGATGCTGATAGGTCACCCAGAAGAAAGGAATTATATTCTCCACTAGACAGGAACCTCGATGTGATTCAAAGGTTCAAAGTTTCAGAAATAAGGCGAGAAGTCAAACCACAAAAGGATTCATCAATTTTGATTCGGAGAAGAAAGGGACCTTTTACCAAACTGAGAATATATTTCTCAGTGATTCTTTTCAAGGAGTTGATATTCTCTTTGACTTAACAGCCAATTCTGAGACATGAAGACCATGTCTATCCATTTATTACATTAACAG